AGTGCTTATCCTATGGTGCCATACCAGGACAGAGAAGTTGAAGTCAATTTATATATGGAAAGAACATGAAACCTGTCCTACTTCATAAATACACCAAAATTTTCTGATTGTTTCTTAAATATTTGCTATGTCTTTGCATTGCACTACATATGAAACACTCTTTCAAATTTATTAGTAAACTGGTTGTTGTTGTTTAGTGCCGAGTCAGTTCAGACTCACAAAGACCCTATTTCTAAGGAGCAAGCTGGTGGATTTGAAACACCAGCCTTGAAGTTGTAACCAAACTTTGCAGTCTAGTGCTTATCTTACAGCGCCACACCAGGACTCCAAGTGAACTTATATTTATCTATCTTTTTTAAGAATATATTTCCTTTTTGGTGCAACCTTTAAAAGACAACTAAATGCAAGCAAGTTATGGTTTTAGGACCATCATTCCCCAGTTTTGATTCATTTTTATCTAGTTTTTAATAGCCACTCCTTTTACTCCTATTGCAAACAATGCATTGGCGTGAACTGTTGTTGTTTCTAGCTGTTGTGGACTTATGGTGACCTCATTCACCTCAAATCAGTGTAACCCATAAGTTTTCATTGGCTGATTTTTTTCACACAGAAGTAGATTAGCAGACCTTTCTTCCTAATCTGTTTTAATCTGGAAATTCTCTGAAACCTGCTCAGAAACCAGCAACATGCAAGGCTCACTGACAAGCTAAGTCATGGCTAAATATGAGGAGTTCTGCCAGGAACTGAACTTGGGTGTGCCATATGGAAGGTGAGAATTCTGCCATTGAACCATCAGTGTCTCCCATTAAACACAAAAACAAAACAAAACTCACTACCATCGAGTTGATTCAGATGCATGGCAACCCTACCGAACTATTCCTGATGGTTTCCGAGACTAAATCATCATAGGATCAGATGGTCTCATCTTCTTTCCTTAGAGCAGCTGGTAGGTTTGAACAACTGACCTTGTGGTTAGCAGCCAAGGCTTAACCTACAGCACCCCCAGGGCACCTTGTATCCCCATTGTTGTTAAGTACCATCAAGTTGGTTTCAACTCACAGTGACACTGTATAGGGTTTCTGAGGAACAGCAGTGGGTTTGATCCACCAACCTTGTGGTTAGCAATCTAAGGCTTATCCCACAGTGCCAAACCAGGACTCCTGTGTGCCCCATTAGGGTAAGCTGAAGCACATTTAAATTAATTTGCCAGATTTATAAGCTGTCCTGCCTGATACCTGGAAATGTAAATGGTCCCTGCAGGTGGAGAAAGCAGCAAGACGACTTAAAGTATAACCTGAAAATAGAATTTCTCATTTTAATGCAGACCAATCTTCATGGCTGACCTGTACACTTGGTGGTCACATGGTGCCTCTGAGGGTCCTGACCCATGGATCCTCTTGCCAATCACAGTGAGTCACTGCACACAGAATATTTGTATCCATGCTCTCTCCTTCTGGGGTTCTTGACCCAGTGAAGTGCCGATGACATTCTCATCCTCTAATTGCCCTTTCAGGTGTGAGATTTTAATTGCAGCACCCAGGACTCTGTTCCCACTCACTAAGCACTTTGCTCAAGCATATCGGAGAAGCAGCACAATGAATGTGTTCTCACCTGTCCAGAATGAGGTCTGGAGCAAAGATGAGCTTGCCGGGATGGTTGATTGAGCGCCACATCAGCCCCACCATTAACACCTCCATCCAGCAGTTCTCCAAGAGCCTCACTTGGTCGTAAAGGCTGAGCTCCACAAAGCCTGGGGGAAGCAAGAGGCTGTGAGACATGCCCGCCCTCCTCCTCCTCAGTGCCCTGTTCTTGTAAAAACAGAAACAGCAAGTTTTTTAAATGCTCAGAAGACAATTCAGAGAAATAGTCAGAATTTAAAAATGTTGTTGAATGCTGGCTAAAGAAAAGAGAAATTTGAATTCAAGATGTGTTTTATGCTTTGAAGGATCCCTGGTGGCACAGTGGTTACGCACGTGACTGCTAACCAGAAGGTCAGTGGTTCGAGCCCACTAGTTGCTCCATGGGAGAAAGCTGTGGCAGTCTACTTCTAAGAAGATTGTTGAAGTTAAGTGCCATCGAGTACGTTCCAAGGTGTAGGGTTTCCAAGGAGTGACTGGTGGGTATGAACCGCCAACCTTTTTGTTAGCAGTCTAGTGTTTACCCTACAGTGCCACACCAGGACCATATGGGGCAGTTCTATTCTATCCTTTAGGGTCACTACGAGTTGGAATGGACTCAACAGAAGTGGGTTTAGTTAGGGTTTGGGTTATGCATTAATTGCAGGCACACACACACACACCCCTCTCCAAATTGATGTTTAAGTCCTAACCCCTGGTACCTGTTTGGAATCAGGGTCTTTGAAGATGCTCTCAGTTAACAAAAGACTATACCTGAGTAAGGCTGATCTGATCCAACCTTAAAGGTGTTCAGAGACACAGAAAAACAGACAGCGGGAACCCGGCCCTGAGATGAAGGAACACCTGGAGTAGCCAAAGACTGAGTCTAAAAAGGGTTTTCCCCTAGACTCTTGGAGAAAACATGCTAAATCCCTGAATTCAGATTTCTCCCTCCAGACCTGTAAGAAAATCAGTTTCTGTCATTTAAAGCCCCCTACTTTGTGATACTTTGCTACAGCAGTCCTAAGAAACTAACACAGTTTGCCCCTCACACTTTCCAATCTTAGATTCCTTCTATGGACAAATATACTCATTTCATCTTTGTAAAGAACTGTTAGCTGGGCTCCTGAGGCTACCCAGACAGATAGATGGATGGTAGGGATGAGTAGAAAGTCAGAAACAATCTTTGGTAGCTGGCGGCTGACATTTTCTCTGCACTATTGAGAAAGAAAATGCTCGACTGTGGTCAGAGGGGTGGCCTGCCGGACTCAGTCCAGAAAAATGGGAGTGGCAAGCAGAGAGCACCACCAGCCTCTTGGAAAAGTCAGGGTTCCTACGGATTCCTCCAATTGTTTAAAATTTCCCATCAACTATTAGAATCATTCTTCTGGGTAGGAGCCTTGTCTTGAAGCTATTCCAACGTAATGACCAAATGCAACAACAGAAGCAAGTCCCGCTAGCCTGAGAGCATACACTGGTCACAGAGCTGGCAAGAACCCTGGGAAATCTCTAGGGGAGCCGAGCACTTCAAAAGGAAAGCAGAGAGCATAGGAGTTTCCTCCAGGGGCCGTGAGATTAACACAGTAACTAAATGAGTCCCAATGTGGCACTGTAGGATAAACACTGGACTGCGAGGTTGACGGTTCAAACTCACCAGCTACTTCTCGGAAACCCAACTACAAACACAGCCTTGGAGTGAAGCAGATTTGGGTCTGAATTCCTCCTCAGTGTCTCAGTAGCTAGATACTTATTCTTTCTAAGACTTTGTTTTTCTTGTAGGAAAAATGAAATGAGGCAGTAATCCCTGTATGTGAGAATTTTGGCAATGATTAGATAGACCACTATGTGTATAGTTAGGTAACATATTAAGATATTTTGCTTTGTTGTTTTATTGTTTTCCCCTCTTGATCTGCCATCTCTACACACAGAGCTAGTCTTCTGAGTCTTTAGGAGAAGTTAAGTGGCAAGTGGAAAACAAGATATTTTCTGGCTTTCATATCTAACCATCTAAGCCCACAGGGAAGTCCCTGGGTGGCACGAAGGGTTAATGCACTCAGCTGGTAACTGAAAAATTCAAAGTCTGAGTGCACCCTGAAGTGCTTTGGAAGAAAGGTGTGGTGATACAAAACAGCAGCCATTGAAAACCCTAAGGAACATAGTTCTATTCTAACAAACACGACATTGCCATGAGTTGGAACTAACTAGACAGCACCTGGTTCTAGTTAACTACACAGAAGAACTTGGGGAAATTCAGAGGAAGTGTAGATAGAAGTATTATTACACTGAGGAAAGTTCTCCCATGGTTGGAGCAAGGAAAGAAGACTCATGGGACCACAAGTAGTGAGGACCTAGCACTCTGGACACAGAAGATCCCACAGAAAAAGGCTTCATGGCACGCCTATCTGCTTCCCATGTGAGGCCCAGAAATGCAGACACGAAACAATGAGCAGAGGTTTTGATGAGAGCGAGTGATGGTGGGACCCCTGCCTTGTCATCAACCCCATGATACTTCTTAAGACCTTAGAACTACAGCCCCCGCCAGAAGTGGGAAAACCCTAGGACAACAGAAGTTAAGTCCAAATGATTCACGGGAATAGGGGCTAGAAAGGTGATTGAGTTGATGTCTATGTAATTTTGTAGCAATACTTTTTTACTTACCTTCATATATGCTGAAAGGATCACAAATAGTAAAAAATGTTCCTTGAGGTTGAAGAATAAAAAGAAGTCTGAAGAGGCAATATCAGGAATGGGGAGTTTGTTCTTTTGGATAAGGATAAGTGCTTTAGAATGACCTTGTGAACCAGATGGGAAAAAGTGGATTAGATGAGAGGTCAGTTATGTACTTCCATGGTTCAAACAATGGTCTGCACCTGCATGTATCAACCTCGAGTGAATCTGTAGGGACTGTGGCCTGATCCGTTCACTATTTTTAACTGTAACATAGAGACAGGTCAATCAACTTTCCAGACAACAGAAGATAGAAGGGAGGGCGAGCACACTGGATAGCCAAACCGAGATTTAACAAGATTGCACAAGCACAGGAAAACAAATTTCAACTAACAATATAGTTCAGATACCCAACCAAGCAGGCTCAGGAGATGGTCCCAGAACTCTCAACCACATATAAAGGAATATTTAGAAGGTTGGAAGGCTTACAGCTGGGGAATTTGTGGCAGAAGCAAGAAATTCATTGCTTTCTAGTCCAAGATGCTCAGCTGCTCCAGGAGCCACCATCTTGGGTGAGACCAAGCGGAGGAAGGATCGGAGCGGCCACAGACGCCTGGCAGAACCACTTAGATAAAGATGTGGACATTCTTTTCTTTTGGTATCTGTTCATTGGTCCCTTGCTGTCTGCGCATTTCCATTCTGGTGACTATAAGGGTGCCTGAGCTAGTGGGCACACCAGCCCCACCCTCAGAGGGTTCTAATACGCATGCGCACAGATCTCCTCAAAATTTAAAGAGACAGTTTCCAATTAAAACCAAACGGCCACAGCCGGCCCTGAACAGTTTAAAACTAGAAAAAAGGCCTAAAGCAAGCCTGTCATGATCATGTAGCCATTTCTGATAAACAATTACCTCAATTTTGACCTATGATCCAAAACAAGCTATTGCCTATAAAGTACAAAAAGAGCCCATGACTTCTAATTTTTGAAGCTCTAAGTTCCTTCTTGGGGACACTGGATGTTTTTCATTGCAATAATTTCTGTGCAAAATATTGAATGATTCAGGAAGTATCAAAAGAAGATAGAAGGACTAAACAGTCACTGTATTGAAAAGAATGGTCAATGTTCAATCATTTCAAGAGGTACCATATGATCAAGAACTGATGGCCTTAAGGGAAGAGGTTCACCTTTGCACTGAAAGCATTGGGGGGAAAAAAGAAGGTTTCAGGAATTGATGGAATACAAACTGAAATGCTGCAACAAACTGACGCTGCATACTCATGGAGGTTGTTGTTATTAGGTGTCATCGAGTCGGTACCGATTCATAGCGACCTTATGCACAACAGAACAAAACACCGCCTGATCCTGGGCCAACCTCACTATTGTTGCCATGCTTGAGCCCACTGATGCTGCCACTTTTCCAATCCATCTCGCTGGGGGTCTTCCTCTTTTTCTCTGACCCTCCACCGTACCAAACATGATATCCTTCTCTAGCAACTGGTCCCTCCTGACAATATGTCCAAAGTCAGAGAAATGAAGTTTGGCCATCCTGGCCTCTAAGGAGCACTCTGGCTGCACTTCTTCCAAAACAGATCTATTGGTTCTTTTGGCAGCCCATGACACTTTCAATATTCTCCTCCAACACCATAACTCAAAAGCATCAATTCTTCTACAGTCTTCCTTATTCATTGTCCAGCTTTTGCATGCATATGAGGTTACTGAAAATACCATGGCTTGGGTCAGGTGCACCTTAGTCCTCACCTCAAGCTGACATCTTTGCTCTTCAACACTTTAAAAAGGTCTTGTGCAGCAGATTTGCCTAATGCAATACATCATTTGATTTCTTGACTGCTGCTTCCATGAGTGTTGATAGTTGATCCAAGAAGAATGAAGTCCTTGACAACTTCCATTTTTTCTCCTTTGATAATAATGTTATTTATTGGTCCAGTGGTAAGGATTGTTGTTTTCTTTACATTGAGATGCAATTCATACCAAAGGCTGTGTGCTCTTTGATCTTCATCAGGTAGTAGCTCTAAATACCAACAGAAAGGGAAGGAGTTTTCACATCAAGTATCAGTGGTATCCCCTCTGTACATAGGGTAGATATGGACAGGCAACTTAGATAGTGGCTACCTAAAATAAGGGGCAATAAGGTGTCAAGGGGGAGTTTGGTTTAAGAGCGGGTGGGGGAAGATAGAGTCCCCACTGAATAGTTTTCATCTTGTTTAGATTGTTTTTTTAAAAAAGAGATGGGGATAAGATTTATATGGTTCAATAGTGAGTAACAGTTATCACAACTAATTGCAACTATCACAATTATAAAGGTGGAAATCTTGTAACAAAAACAGGGGAGTAGCTAACTTACAGTCCAGAAACTAAGGACCCTAGGATCATCAAGGCAGAAGAGCACAAGCGAATACAAGACCTTATCCAGAGAAGCAGCAATACCAGTTATGGAGACAGAGATGG